CGCCTGTGTTCTTCTTCTTGGCATGCAGCCTTCCTGTATGGATCGAGCCACGACGTGTTGGAGGTGACGAGCGTCGCCTACGGCTCGTGCGGGACGCCAAGCAATCCGATATCGTCGGACAAAAGCGGGAACACCACCGTCGCGCTGAAGGCCGCAGGGACGCGGTACTTCATCTGCGGGACGGCGGGGCACTGCAGGAGCGGGATGAAGATGGCCGTCCGCGTAGCTTCGTCGGGCTCGCCGCCGCCCTCCCCGCTACCGGACTTCCCGCCCGACGGACCCGCCGATCCGCCGTCGCTGCCGTTTCCGCCCTTGTCTCTTTCGCCGCCGGCTCCGATGGGAGCGGCGGGCGGGGCCTGCGTGCATGCCAAGGTTGCTGCAGATCTCGGGATCGGGATCTCGATGATGATGGCGATGGTGGTGGTGGCGGCGGCGCTTTGAGCTCTGTGGAGAAAGATGGAGAGAGAGAAATAGACGCCATTCTACTGGTTTTGGATTCATTTGATTGCTTTCTACATTTGTTCTGATCTCGGGATGAAACGTATTCACAGATTACAGCTTGGCTTCTCTTTTCTTTGAATTGGAATCAGACTTGTAGAGTTAGCTTTCTTCCCATGAGTTGACCAACTCTTAAGTCAACTCAAAGCTTAGTGTCAGTATATTACTACAAGCATGATAACACCTCGTGGATTGAAATCAAAATATGCTCATCACATCGATATGAATTGCCCAACTCATATCCTCGATGTAGGGTTGCATGTTCATGGCACGTTCTTCGCATATATATATGTTGACGCATCAAAACAAGCGCACATCATTGCATGATAAGCTTCGTACTCTTCTAATATTTATTTGATAGAAAAATCAAGAGTAATCTAAAGAGTTATTTGTCATTATTTTTTGTCAAAAATAATGAAAAGATCAAATAGCATTCATTAAAGTGAAGAACATGATTCACTGTAATGACTTCAAAGTAGCCAATGAAAAAAGAACTCAGTAGTTTGACTTGTGTAGATGCATACAAAACAATCACAGATCAAACAAAAACATCAGCAGCTTAAGTATAATCCCAAAATGCATCAAGGAAGTTTCTCAATCTTTTTTCCACATTAGAATGGGGAATCAAGACAAGATATAGGTAGCACATCAATGACAAATAGAATTGTGTTCTGGCAAAAAAAAGTCTCCAAATCAGATAAGCCTTCACATCAATGATTCAACATGAAACCAAATATAACTCATATAGCATCAGCTACAATAAGCCACTCAGCTTGATCTCCCGGTTGCTTAAGCAACAGGTGAACATTTATCTGCATCCTGTGATGTATCGACATCAGAAGGCGGCATATATTGCCACATCGGGAACCCAGGGAAGCCGATGATCGGGACCATGAGCTTGTGTCCGGCAGCTTGCCCTTGGGCTCCATAAGGGGTTGGTACTAAAGGTGGCTGAGGCACATAGCTTGATCTGGCATTCAAGAGCTTTACTTGCTGCTCCAGACTCCCCCTCTCGGCCTTTAGCTTCTGCTTCTCATCACGAAGCTCATTCTTCTCAGCCTGCAGAGCAGCACACTCCCATTAATGAGATGGCAACGAAGGAATTAACTAGAAGATGTAGCCTTTTGTTCTAAGAAAACACATTTTAGAAAGAATATTTCAACTGGAGAAAATTGTGACAGGTAATTTCATGCAAGACTCCTTTTTTTATTAAGATTTTGTAGTGAATCCACTAATATGTTAATCTTAAGAAGACCATACCATGTTACATGTTGGAAGTCAGAAACTAACTTCTTTTCTTCTATTTTTCATTACCATCGAAACCGCGTATGTTATTAAAAACAGCTATGGTCTTTCTTCTTTCTTGAGCATTTTATTCTTTCTTGTCCACATTGGTGGGAACTTCATACACTAGATCCCATTCGTAAACATCAACAGCATATCATCCAAAGAATTTGGATATACACTCATCTCAGCCTTGTTGAAATTAAGGAATTTAAGTGAAAAGAAAAGAAAGAGGCAACTAACAAACTATAGTTGAATACTAATTAGATTTCACAATCTACAGGTACAGATATCTTAGTATTGACAGCACACACAAGCATAGAGCTAAGTGTAAAATGAAAGAAAGACATACCTTCAATTCTTTTATTTTCTCCTGGAGACTTTCATTTGATTCTTTTAGCTTCTGTGCTTCATTGCGCAGTTGAGTCACCAAACGAGCAGCATCACTTAAAATAGCTGCCTTGTCCATCTTTGGTGGGTTCCCAGGATCAAGAAGAGAGTTCAGTTCCAAGAACCTTTCATTGCAAAAGATTGAAACTATGAAGGAGGATAAAACATAATATAAGTACTAAGCATGTACAAATAAGGAAAATTTACCTATCATTTAACCTTTCCCTTCTCATCTTCTCCCTACAGGCTTTGGAGGCTGGATTACTGCAGGATTCTGATCTGGAACTGCAACCCATGAATGATTCAAACTTACAAAAGTGACACACAATTCTGTATATAAAGTAATACTATAAGGATCCTAAATCTTGATCTTTAAGCACAAGGACTCAAACCGCTTTGCAGAGCCTGGTTCTTTCAGACCATCAGAATTTACAAAGGAGCTATCAATTTCCACACTGGCAAAAGAAAGATTCATGTAAGAAGCTGTGAAAAAAAAAGAAGATAACATAAAGAAGAAGATACAACATAATTAAAAGAAAAATATATCTAACGAAGCTAGGTGAAACAATGAAAATCAGTACAAATGCAAATTTCAGTCCGAGATAATAGCTGGTACATATTAACACACATCATAGGCATGTAATAGCAAACGAAAATGTTGGTCATATGGGTTTTAGCATAAAGAATGAGAAGGTTATCATATTGCAAAACTTTTAAATGTCCTAAATAATGTTTGGATCAAATTAAATGATTTAGAAGAAGTGACCAAATTAATCTTCAGTCATAAAATCAAAGCCATGATTAAATGATTTAGCAGATTTTTGCCCTTGATCAATGCATTAATAAAAAGTATGAACCTAAGGAATCATCATATAAATCACTGATAAAAGAACCACACCAACGAGTCAGTTATCCTAATAAAAAGCAAATAATATCCAAACATCAAAAAAGAATCATCATGCCTGAATGCTGAATCAGATGCTAGATGGATTGGCCTTTAAGATGAAAGAATTCATTTATTGCATAATGGATGAAGGATCACATTACAGGGACCAGGAAAAGCGGAAAAAGGTCACAAAAATATGGAAGAGATGAGCTGTTCATATGGTGTGGGAAAATCAGAGATTATGATGGTTCTTTCTCAACATCAGAGAGGTTTTCTTTTTATTGAATACAACAATGGAAATTTTGACATTAGTTTCATCCCAAAATATTGGTCATCCTCCCCATTCACTCATCGTGATATAAATGTATTTAGACAGTTGTCTAAATGCATTTTGCACCCAATTGAAGCCACAAGGATCTCCATGCCAAGAATGTAGTTAATCGCAACAAATATGAAAAAGAAAAGATATCAAAACAAGAAGTCAAAATATTAAAGAAAAAAGAGTTCTCCAACAATATTTCAGTAGGGATACGCAAACATAAAAGGTGTTTCAAATAACCACTAGAAGACCACTTGATAAACTTAACCTTAGAACATGAACTGATTATTTCCAATATGTCACCTACTGCCATATCTTGAGCTTTAGATAACTATGTCTGAATAAAACCAAAAAAGTGGTACAGTTTAGTCTGGGATGAAAGCTGAAGGGAAAAGAAAAAATTTTGACCTTTTGTTTATTTAAGAAAATTAACATTACTACGAGGCAAGATAGACCATTTTGTCCACACTTTAGCCGATGCATCAACATAACTCATTGTAGATAATTCTGCAAGAATATTTGCCCCAAGGAATAAGATAACCATCCAATTGAAAACTTCCTTCTTGAAGGCTATGCTATGTCACCATAAACTCATATAAAGATTTCACATAGTTAAGCTTGTCGCTCTCCAGCACTTAGTCGCTTTCTATTAATCAGAAACAGAGATACGAGTAAGCTTTGGCATAGGTCAGAGCTTCAAAAGATTAAAAGTATACCTTATTTCTTTTGTTGCAAGTGATGTAAACTAAGTTTTTCAATAACATTCCAATGCTGAGAAATGACATACTATACAGATTGCAGATCCCTAAAAGGGTTTTGATATTTCAAGATTCATGAATGGAGCACCCAATTGAAGCCTCAAGGAACTCCATGCCAAGAACATAGTTAACTGCTACAAATATGACTAAGAAAAGAGATCAAAGCAGGATGTCAAAATAATTAAGAAGAAGAAATTCACCAACAATGCCTCAGTAAGGATATGCAAAGATAAATGTGTTTCAAACAACCAATGGAAGCCCACTCGGCAAACTTAACCTTAGAACATGAACTGCTTCTTTCCAATATGTCTCCTGGTAACAGATCTTGAGCTTTAGATAATTATGTACCAACAGAAACGAAAAATCTTGGTACAATTTAGTCTGAGATGAAAGGTGAAACAAAAAATAAACAAATTTGACCATTTGTTATTTAAGATTATTAACAATATTATTATATTTTCAGTTTTGCAAAAAATATTTGCCCCAAGGAATAAGATTGCCATCCAATTAAAGGCTTTGTTTTTGATAATTAAGCTATGTTACCATAGAATCATATAAAGTTCTCACATAGTTAAGCTTGACACTCTCCAGCACCTAGCCACTGTCTATTAAACAGAAAATGGAATCCAAGCCAGGTTTGGCATGGATCACAGCTTCAAAAGATTGAGAGTATATCTTTGCTCGATGTCACCAGATACTGAGCCTTAACCATGTGGGTTGGATTCCAATTGGATCAACAATTAAAGATGTAAAACCAAAACTCATCTCTGTTTGATTAAATGCCATGTTTATTCTTTTCTCCAGATGAATATATAATTATTCTGACTAAATATGTGCTTTGGAGTTCCAATATGAGTTTTCGTGCAAGGACTTTCCGTTCATACAAAAATTTTATTTTCATCATCAGAGGGAAGTTATCAGTTGGATTGAAATTACATTTGAGACATTTAATCATGTCCAAAACTCCTCTTCAGTGTGCTATATACTAGGACAATCATATTCGTTCAGACATACCATGGTCACTCCCTTGATCCTAGTTAGGAACATAAAATGGAGGAAAAGAATTATAGTGAGAAAAATCACAGCACATAATCACAAATAGGAAATATTTTCTCTAACCATACTAACATAAATTTGGAACTCATGAAAAGCACCAAGAAAGAATTTTCAATGGATAAATTACCTCATCCTACACCATTAAAGATCAAATATTATGGTCAGTCTACTACGCCTTACATAATAACAAGTACACTGCAAATTGATATCATTACTACCAAAACACATCTTGCTTAGCACCAGCATATTTAGATGACAAGGACAAACAAAAAGGTTCTAGAACAGCGTATTATCCTAGACCACAGTAAGAAACCTAGGTTATAACCAGTACCATACCAACAAATTTGTTTGCAATCAAGTAAAAACACAGTGAAAGATCGATCTGAATGATGAAGCAGCTCAGACCATGCATGATCGTTTGGTAAATTGATTAGTCTTCTTTCAGACCACAATAAATTCTAGCAAGCAACTACAAATGATTTCCCCACAAAACCTAAATGGTTCTCATAATACATATGTCCAAATTATTCATAATAAGCACGAATGAGTCTATAATCCGAAAACATGCAACTAACAGAGACAAACTACTATAAAGGATCAAGAATGACCATTCGAAGTAGAGTCAGGACGCCTCAGCAGCAGCATCAAGCACAAAATTAAAGAAATCCCCATTCGACCAAACAAGAAAAAGAAATTTCAGATTTTTCGAAGCTAAAAAGGAGGGGACCCAACACGCGAAGAGATCGAGCAACGGGTGGACAAAAAGAATCCCTAGAATCCGCTTCAAATTACCTGACACTGGAGGCTGGGTCGAAGCCCTGAGGGTTCCAACCGAAATCGGCCCCGGCATCGGGGATGTCATCGATCAAGGAGCAATCCAAGAACCAGTTAGGGTTTTCGGTGGAGCCCATTCTCCAAACCGTCGCCGGCAACCTAAACTTCTCCGGCCGGGAGCCGAGGGAGAATTTCGATATCGATCCGCCGTCGGGCCAATTATTCGCGGCCCCTTTACTTCGTCGTCGTCTTGTGGTCTGAGAAGAACGTAAAAAACAGGCTGTTTTCTTTATTTAGGGCTCGTTTAGAGCGAGGATTGGGTGGGGAATTACGTGGCCGACGGAGTTGCGCGGAACCCTATCCAATAGGATTTCTGGGCCCACCGCCCACCAAAACAACCAAATGGAATCGACTTTTTTTTCGTGGTGGAAAATAAATATTACCAAATGAGATAATAATTGTAGATTGTGCAGAAAAATATTTTTTTTTAATTTTTCGGGATGATACAGCTTTTTAAAATTTTAAATCATTATCTCCTATTTTTAATATTCTAAAATACTTCTATATATTTTAAAAAAATATATATAATGCAATAATTTATTTTTAAAAATTATATAATGTTTTTGATGTCACAGTATTTTTGAAACAAAAATATTATATAGAATTTAAAAAATATATATACAGCTTTTTTTGGATTTGGACAGAAAATTTTATATAATAACAGGAAAATCTTTTGGATTTGGACCCAAAAAAAATACTACGAACAGCTTTTGAAAAATAATTCTAAAAAAAATCAAAAAATTGATTTGAAAATCTTTTGCCATTCACTTGCTTTATGACAAATCTTTCTACTTTTGGGCAAAAAGATGACGTTGACAGAATGAATGACATCACGATTACAAAGAATACAGCAATAATTGCCATCTACGATTCCATCATGTAGAGTTATAAACCAAACGATCATCAAATGAGGGAACAATTGCTGACATCCTATAACAATTCTTTCTACTTTTGGGCCACATAAGATGACTTTAACAGAACAATAATAGTCAATCTTGTAGACCAAAACATGGTTGAAAACAATATCTCGAGTATTAATAGTCGTTGTTAGCAAACACACGTAGACACTCCAATCTGCGTACAACCTCAACTTCACATGCTACAAACCCAACCCACACCAGATGATCAATTGCAATCCCTTAGTGTACAGACTTACAGTGACAATGTCAGATCCGTATTGATCATTAAATAATCACGATAATGAGGGGTTATCGAAGACGATCACAGGCCTCAGCCGTAGCTCAATCGAGAATCCAAAAGAGGCCGCGACTGGGTCTGTCGTCGGGGAATGCCAATTTCGCATGAGTTAACCCTGGCGGCGAAACGAAGAGAGCAGATGGACTCCCCGGCTGAGGATGACTCCGGCGAGATATTAACGAACATTAGTGTCTTCGAGTCTCCACCAAGACAAGGCTATATTACACAGAAAGCAATTTGATAGTTAACAGGCAAAAAAGATGGAAAGGTTTGTAATAAGGACATGCAAACCCGGAGGAACATTGCATACCTGCAGAAGATACGTTAGCTTGGAGTTCCTAAATGGCACATGGTCTTCTTTCTTCGCGATCGCAGCGATTACATCACTCAAGGCAGATAAACTTTTATTGATTGCCTACGTTAAAAGTGGGGAAAAGCAATTCAATGAACAGTTTCACAAATCACACACCATTGTTTAATTGGAGTAATACTACCTGTGTTTCTTTTAGACGATCTCCGGTGGCACCACTTCTTGCTAGGCGCTCGCTTCCAGCGAGATCTATTAAGTTTAGGACACCTTGAACCTGTTGTTCTGTGCTCTGGAATGAAATCACAAGAATTTATGTCGGATGGCAAAACAAATTCAACAATATTAAGATCAATCGGTTGATCACCTCATTGACACCAAATATACGCAAGGTGAAGACAAAATGACTTCTCGAGGACTGTTCGTTCATGTGTGTCCTACCCACAGATCTGGCCAAGGAATTCAACAGTCTATTAGTATGCCGGCAAATTATTTCATTGAAATAGATAAGACAAAACAGATATAGATCCATATTGATGTAAGTGAACACAAGCCAATAAGGAAGACAGATAATCCCATGCTTCCAGTATCACTCTTGTTTGATAGTTCTGATATGGTTGATAAAGTTTGATGCAGCAGTCTTTATTTTGTAGCTTAAAATACGTTTGCATTTAATTATAAACCAAAAACTAACACCACATAGAGATTGGTTAACCTCCAATGTTCAAAGTTAGTTATCCTCAGATTTGCTAGACAATATGAGATTCACCGCTACTTCCAAAGCTAAGAAAGTTTCTTTTCATGACTGATACAAAGTACTTCGATCTACCTACTCCGGACAAGTATATCTTATGTGAAAAGATCAAGCCTAATATGAACAGTAAATAGTTCTGTGCAGATATTCACCAAATAATATTGAAAAAAGTCTAAGCTATCGAGTCCATTAAATCACTGCTGAAAAAAAAAGTGGCCAGAAAAATGACTAATGGGTACCTGCTCTGTGCAGCCTGTTGTAGGAGGAAAGACACCTCCTTGATACTGCATACATCTACGATGGTAAGGTCAGATACAATTGTATTTCCACCAGAATCATGTTTGATTGAATATTGTTTGTTAACAGCAGCATTTGCCTCTAGGCTGCTTGGCCGACCTGGTGATAACAAGTCACGAATTGCCTCATTGTAAATCTCCAGCATGGAAGCCTGCAAAAATGGATGGGGAATAAGCAAACCGAATGTTATATGATAAGGCAAACTATTAAGAACAGAAGTTTACCTGCATTTTGTACTTCCAACCTTGACATTGTAATGATTGGCTAGTTTCAAACACCTGCTCCAAAGAACGGGGTATAAGCCCTTTCTGTTCTCGAATTTCTGGGTTCCCCATCATAGTGAATGTTTTACCAGAACCAGTTTGCCCATAAGCAAAAATGCAAACCTGCCATTTGTGATAGTAAGTATTTTTAGATAAACGATCAACCCAAAAAAATGGCAAGATCTAATAATACCTGTCCCAAACATACAATAAACTCACAAGAGTTAGGTGATTTAATTCTTACAAGCATTAGCTAGCCAAATAATTGAAACAGAATACAAAGAAAGTTTAGTTAAACAGTATGTCAACAGACAATTAATATTGAGCAAAAGATTACTCTTGACAACACTGAATTGGCGGTGATGCAGCAAGAAAAGGTGTCATTTTCAGTTATGAACATAAAAAAAACAAGATCAAATGATTTGTTAAACCACCTTGTACCCATCGAGTGCACTCTGCACCAGCTGTGAGATTTCAAAAAACACATCTTCTTGTGAAGCTTCGTGATTGAATACTTTATCAAAAGTGAAAGAGTATTTCTGAGCTGCTAACAAAACAATTGACATGGTCAGTGTCTCATGACACTAGAAATAGCTATAAAACAACAGGCATAATCTAAATATAGTATCTTAAAAGACTGATACAGAAACATATCCATACTACTATGCATCAAGTCGATGCCCCGGCCTGCAGTTTCCATTGAGGTTGGATAAGAAACCACGGCTCCATCTGTGCCACTAGAATCATTGTCAGGTAAAACTGGGCGAACTCTACAGAAGACTCGAATATTTCCCTTAAGTTCCTGCAACAGCATATAGTCTTAGCATCCAAAACACTTACCAAATTCAATATAAGAAAACTAAAAGTACCAGTATAGTATTATGCAGTTTTTTTCGCAATTTCTCGGCTTCCAGAATTTGAAACTCAGCTTCCACAAGACGATTTTGCAAGTCATTTACAGTTTTCTTTTGTTCTTCATATTCAGACATTGTTTCAGTGGCTGTCATATCAGCTTGCTACAAAAAAATAATTAAAAAAAGTCAAGACTGGATATTTGCAGCATTACAGAGTGAAGAGAAACAAATTTTGTGTAGAAAAGAACTACTCCTTTTTTCAAACAGAAATGCACTAAAACAATGTCAAAGAAAGGCATAAGCCAGATGACTGAATAAGTGACTACTACCAACCTTCAGTTTCTCATTTGAAGCAGCAAGCTGGTGCTGCAATAGCCGTATTTGATCCCTTTGGGAAGCACAGGTCTCCTACATATCATTATGAACAAAATAAGTGTTGTACACGAGTAACAAAAGATTTATTATGGCTAAGGTGCAAACAAACCTCTAGTGCAATTGTTTTTGTAGTTATCATATCCAAATCTTTCGAGGACTTCCCAGTAATTTCTTTAAACTTAGCAACTTCTTGAGTCAAACTCTGGACTTGTTCTAGTGAATGTTCACGATCATCCCTTACTTGCTGCAATTCACTTCTCAGGCAACTTATTTCTTTCATTAAATCCTCTTTCTGTTTAACTGCCACTTGTTGAGAAGACTGGCACAACAACCAAGTTACTGTGTCATGTAAGGAGAGATGGCACTAAGAGAAAAATATGCAAAATACTCAAGCTTGTCAAATAAGTTGGGTGAAAAAAATCTATGTAATCAAGTTTCTAATTAATACTATTTTCTCACGAGAAAAACCCTAGACCCAAGAACAGCTGGATGTTTATCCAGCAAAATGGATAAATTGCAACCAAGGCAGATCAAACCCATAGTGTCCCACGGGCCAGCGTCTCTACCAAACAGGTGGCATTGTGTATCTCAATTTCAAGTATTTAAGACATCTAGTGTGTGTTCACCTCATGGAATTAAGGAAAAAAAATGTTAGCATAGCACTCTAGTAAGCACAAGATATGTGGGAAAGACATTAAGTTACAACAGATCATTCAATTTGAAGAAATTGGAATCGATTAATATTATAATAAAGCACAAGTATTGCAGTGATACCCCAGTTTAGTCTCGGATCAGATATGAGAGACTGATTCATTTGTTTATAGGATTAGTGTGGGTCTACAATAATTAATTTGGACTTCAACATTTAAGTCAAGTGGTTCTTGCTTATCAAGTTTAGATATCAGTTATCCAATCATCATGGATCATGACAAGTGATATCAATAATAGACTATTGAGCATGTGAGAGGTATCAGTGAGAAAGGCATACATGTGGATATGACATGATATATCACAGCATGAAGTGCACCAGACTAGTGTTTGATTCAGACCAAGACATCAAGTCTTAATTGGAGAAATATAACACCTTGATTTAGATAATACTCGATGACACTAGACCTATCAAGCCATTTAAACTTATAAGCCAATTAAATTAAGCATTTTGGACCACATGATCCTAGGCCTAAAAAGTTAATGAAACAGTTCTCTAAGTTGGATCATTCATATTACATTCCATAAGAAAGCTCGATGAAATAGCAAATAAATGGGAGACAAAAACCAAAAGTAACTTTATTTTATTAAAAATTGACTAAATAAACAACATAAAAACTTGTAAACCAAAAAAACATAACTAAGAATACTTTTTTGGCTTCATTTCAGAAAATAAAAATAATAACAAAGCAACCCAACTACTAGTGAAATTAATAGGACTATAGAATGCATGTCAAACGTACAAAGGCTGATACACATGAAGGCACATACTAAAAAACAAATAGCTACTTTCATATATTATGTATGATCTTTGATCTTTAAGGCTGGTCCAATGCAAAGGATTTGGAATTGAAGAAAAAAGAAATAACCCCTTCTGCCATAACAACATGCCTACATGATGAGTATGTGTTGAAGTAAAACATTAAAATGAAAATTTTAATCAAATATGGTGCATCATGCTTCGCCCATAAAACGACTAGATTGAGAATTGACTTCAAAGAGAACCCAGATGTATTCCAAAGGACACACACACATGCACGCATGCATGCAAGCATGAGGTAGCAGCCAACAGTATGATACAACCAAGAAAACAAACACCTAAATTCATTTGAACCACAAATATAAAATTCCACATCAAATGCATGACAAAACAAGAAAACAATAATAAGACTCACCCTAGAAGAATCCAACTGACTTTTGAGTGAATTTATGTGATCCCTTAGACCAGATAAGTTTTCCATTATAGCACTCTTCTCATTCTGCAACCTTGAGATGGTCTCACCATTTTGCAAAGCATCAGCTTGAAGATTGCTGTTGTACAGCTGCAAACTGGCATTGTATTCTTGCAATCTCTTATTGTTGTCTTGGACAATTTTTAACTGGCATGGAAACAATAATTGTTAAAATGGATCTTCATGAAAAGTATTGCAGGTCCAACTTGAGTAATTAACTACCTGATCATTAAGCCGACCAGTCTCTTGGCTGACTCTTTCAAGGTCTTGAGACAGAGCTGCACGTGAACTTTCAATAGCAATTCGTGCATCCCTTTCATCCTCATAAGTTTTAATGGCAGCCTGCATTGTTTCAGAAGATCCAATCAGGCAAACAGGCAATAATCAAATATTAGGATTATACTTCCAAAAGCTCCCACCAGTTTATCTGCTTCTTCCTTTTTAAATCTCTCCTGCAATGATTCACACTCTCTCTTTAACTCCTCGATTGTTGCCTCCAGCTCAGTTACTTTTGCCCTCATCTGGTTCTCTGCAGACAAGATAGTCCCAAGTCTTGAGCTGGAAACAGCGTAATCGCTCAAACATTTCAACCGAGAAGCAAATTTTTCAGTCAATCTAAAGACAAAGTCCATACATGTTTGATCCTAATGACCATAATTCTCGTTTACATCAATGATGTCAGTTCTTTTTTACCCATGTAAACAGCAAAACAAAGAAATTACCAATATCACTGTGTCTGTTCTCTTCAGCTGTCATCAAATTTCTGAGATTTTCCTGCTCAGCCAGGTACTTATCTTCAAGATCCATGTACCATCTAATGCAAACCCTAAGCTTTTTAATGTACTCCATCATCTGCTCACTTTTCCCCTGCAAATCAATGAAACACGTCCCAAACAATAAGCACAAAAGCTCCATGTAATTGAGAACATAAAATTGGTCCCCAGTGAGTCAAGACTAGGTCGTTCACCTTATAATCATTCTTGTTCTTCCCCTTCATCTTCTCACCCAGCAGCCTCTCCACATCCTCCCTCGACTCGAACTCAATCGCGGCGACGTTACCGCCGTCGGACCCTTCAGCAGGGGCGACTTGATCACGGTTCCCGACAGGATCAGGGCCGGCGTTGACGGCGGAGAGCACCTGCCGCCCGCGGTCGTTAGGGGACGCCCCCGTCTTGCCCGCCACGACCCGACGCCGCTTGTCGAGGGACGCCTCATCCACATTCTCCTTTCTCTGCAAGAACCAAAGAAGGGGAATCATTCAGGAACCCTACATCCAGGCGGGAGCCGGAGCAGAGACGACCTTGGCACGCGTGGGGCTCCGAGGGGGGAGAGGGGGCTTGCAGGGGACTCGGGACGACATGAATTAGAGAGGGGTTGAGGGTTCCAAGCCGGCCCGGAGAGTGGGGAAGGGTCGGGTTTGCTCCCTTTCTTCCTTCTCCAACTCGGTCGATGTCGAAATGGGGGGAGGGAGAGAGGGTTTGGAGAAATTTGAAATGGTTTGGGGGCGGGCTTAGCACGAAAATTTTCGTTGACAAATTTTCAATTTTACCCTTCGATCTCAAATTGCTTTTTTTCACATACGCCCTTCTAAAGAGTTTATATTATTCGTTGTTAAGCAGATGAGATGCCACAAAGCATAATGACATATTGCAAAAATATATCTTCATTTTCTTTTTCCAAAGTATACCCTTGCAGTCATGTTATTATTATTCTTATTGTTATTTATTATTATTATTATTATTATTATTATTATTATTATTATTATTATTATTATATTTTTATATGATTTTGTATTTTTTTGTATTTAATGTTCATATGCCAATTATCTTTTTTTTTTATAATCTATATATTTTGAAATAAATCAAATTTACATTAGCTAAAATTCAATAGTGGGCTGTCCAAACACTAACAATCCTATCAGAAAATATGTTTTACTCTTCCAAACTAGCAACCTTATGAGCTATTTCCTAGGGATGTAATAAAACTTTAGATTCTTAACTTCCTTTGTAACACTCTAAGAACATGAAGTCAGAACTAATGTTTGGACTCTGGTATTAGTAGTAGTAGTAGTAGTAGTAGTATTATGATGTTTAAATTTATATTTTATTTTCATTCTTATGTATTTCCATATAGTTTTGTATATTAATGTTCATATAAAAGCATTCTCTCTTTTTTTAATAATAAAATCATATTAGCTAATGATGATGTTAAGATCATTGACTTTTTTTAAGGTTTGGTAAATATTTTTATTAATATTAATTATATTCAAATTAGAGACATATGAAACTCTTTAGTGAATTACAGTTTGTTCTTATAAATACATATGGAATCTCAAGATTTTAGTGTGAGGAACTTTGGTTGCTGTTGATGATAATCTTTAGTATTTCTAGAGAGGGTTAGGAGAAAAATTATTCTAAGTTTATATGAGAGGTGTATAAGAGAAGTCGTATTAGTGATAACTTGAGAATTTTGTAATTGATCTCATGTATTGAATAATTTAGTTTTATCTATTATCAAAGTATCTTAAATTTTACGTTGATTTTTGGCATATTCTTTTGATAGTTGATCTTTTGATTTTCAAAATTCTTTTTCCTCCCCAACAAGTGATATTCGATGATAAGATTTAATAATGATGTTGTCAATTGTTCATGTCGGTTTTATTGTAAAAAAATTTCATAGAAGAAACATGTTTACCCTATGATTGAGGAGGGTGAAGGATTTTTTTATTCAACAAGTATAACAAGATCATTAAAGATGAACAAATAAAGTTAAAAAGATGCCCAATAGAAAAAGCTTGAGGCAAAATACATGAGTATTATTCGTCTTTATATTACTGATAATACTATCAATATAGTTTTTTATGATGATTTTGTTATAGTTATTTGAGATAAATTAGAAAAGTTTTATCTATCCATAGGTTAATGTTGGAGGAAGATGAAGAGAGCATTTGAATATATTTAAAGGAATATTGTATCAATTAAAGAAGATTAATAAAAAAATAAAATGTTGGTGCTTTTTAAATTGCTATGTCAACTTTATGGATATGTATTATGTGGGAATAATACAATAACTTTGGGATTGGTTAAAGAAACTATAGTAACTCTTATGCTATCAAAATAAATAATAAATTTAGGAATATGGATGATGAGACATTAGCTACTGAAGATAAAGGTTGACAAGGATAATTTTTTGACATGAGGGATTTCTAATATGACAAGTCAAGATAAAAGTCAAGCCCTTATATAATGTTTGGTGCTATAAATATAAAAAGTACGGACATATCAGACAAAATTATCTAGAAAAATAAAAACAAAAATAAGAGGCTAATGAGTACTCTATTGTAATGGATCGTGATAAAGATATCTTCATAATTTTCAAATGTGACGATGCATTATTCCAAAAAAGTTGACTTTTAGATTTTGCTTATGTTATTCATGCTTATTCTCAAAAGAATTATTTTAATTCACTGAATATTTTGACTAGTAAGTTGAGTCCGAAAAATACTTTAAAAATGAAACTCATGGGTGTGACTTATGTTATAAAAATATGAAACAATCTAATTTCTTTGAGTCTTTTAAATTTATAGAATTATACTACTTAGAGGTGGAGTTCTAAAAGTTATTTGGGGTTGCATAATCATGATGAAAGAAAGATTGGTTTAGAAGAAAATACTATTTCAATGGACTAAATACAGGTTACATGTGCAAATGATGGTAGGTATCTACGATAGAGTTTCATTCGTGATGTAGAAAATGAAAAGTGATATTTATGATTCTTATGATACCGATGATCCGAGGAAAAAAATCTTGCTAATCGTAAAATGATGAGACATAGGTCTATTTTCAAAAGCAAGCAATGCCTTTAATTCGGTTCCAACTATAAAGGATTTATCAATGGGCTCATTAGAATTATGCGTTGAGCCATGAACTAATTCAGTTAGTTTAATTATAGTAAATTTTATAAATAAATAATTTAATTTTTATATGACTCACCAACGTGACGACTATTATGGTTGGTAAATATTTTTATAAGATAATATTTATATTTAAATTAGTTGGTTGAGTCATAATTAAATTAAAACTCCTTAGTCAATTAAGATTTATTCATATAAATACATCTTAAATTTTAAGATTTTGATGAAAAAAAAAGATAAGACACGGAGTAATCTTTATGAATTATATAGAGAGTTTAGATAAAAATTCAAATGAGGTTATACCTTACAGAGTCTTGTAATTAATGTTATATATTGAAGAATTTAATTTTCTCAATGGATATAGATGAAAGTTATCGAGTCATATTAAATCTTATATTAATTTTTGATATTTTTTTTCTGATTTTGATGAAATTTTAATAAAAAATAAAACTATCCCTTACTTCATTATTTTTATACGTAATATTCCTCGGTGTTGTAGTTACCAAACAATCACCTTCATATCCACGTGGAAATTAGCTATTCGACATATTTCAACTTGGAGGAATCAGATTCTTAAGTACCTATTTCCGTACTGGATTACCTGTTCTAAACCTGGTTAAAATGTACCCAAATCTAGTTTAGGTAGTTTGATTAGATCCGAATATCCAAAAACAGAAAAAAAATCGAAGTTGTTACTATATCTATCTCACATTTAGACTCTGATTCCGAGTTCAAATATTTGCTGTCGGGTTGACTCGGTTGTGGAGACTTGTTGGGAATCAGGTCGAGTTAGGTTCGATTTATCGGATTCGACTCCTATAAATGATTGTAACGGCAGTTACTTCGAATGTAACGTTTAAAACGCAGTCGTAACCCTCAGATCCTCGACAGCAAACGACGGACATCTCTATGTTCTCGGAAGACTCCGGAATCTCTCGGTTATCGGAAGAAGAAAACCTCAAATGAGTAGGGAGCATACGCCATTTCCATTGTTAACAACGTCTTCTCTCCAGATCCCCTATCGGCAATGGAAATCAACGTTGCTCTCTTCTGCAACCTGACCTCAGATCACAGAATTCGGAAGAGCAATTGGCCAGGTTTTTCCTGCTTCTCGATCGGTGCCAAGACCCGAAAACGCATAAAGATCGAATCTTTTTGCTGTCTTGATCTGTTCGCCACGAGAAACGTCCGATCTTGTGTCGTCGTCAGGTGTTCGTCCTCTCAGGAGAATTGTCTGAGGCCGAAACCGCGGCCAAAACCGAAGCCGATTGTTGAGCACGTCGACCGTGGCTCGAATTTGGACGACACCTACTCTGCGAGCCCAGATTCTTCTGCCTTCTTCGACCACATAGAGAAGTTGGTCTTCTTCAAGAGGTATGAGGAGGCTCTTGAATTGTTTGAAATTTTGCGGTCGGGGGGAAACCTCGTCGCCGTCCGGGCTAGCACCTACGATTCTCTCGTCAGTGCGTGCATCGGTGTCGGCTCGGTAAGGGAGGTGAAGACGGTATTTCAGCATATGATTGAGACTGGGTTTAAGTTTGATCAGTATATGAGGAATCGAGTCCTCGGGATGCATTTGAAATGTGGTATGATGGTGGATGCAAGGCACCTGTTTGACGATATGCCTGATAGGAACACCGTGTCATGGAGTATTATGATATCAGGGCTGGTAGAGGTGGGTTCCTATGAAGAGGCATTTAATCTGTTTTTTTTGATGTGGGAAGAGGTATCGGATGCCAGTCCACGCATGTTTGCAACTATTATCCGGGCAACTGCTGGTTTAGGCTTCATTCTTGCTGGTAGGCAGTTCCATTCATGTGTTATTAAGATGGGATTTTATAAAAATATCTTCATTTCTTGTGCTCTCATTGATATGTATAGTAAATGTGGATGCATTGAAGAAGCTCAGTGGGTCTTTGATGAGATGCCTGAGAAGACGGTTGTAGGATGGAACACTATCATAGCAGGGTATGCTCTTCATGGGTACAGTGAGAAAGCTTTGGATATGTACTATGAGATGTGCAGTGCTAATGTTCAGATGGACCATTTTACTTACTCCATTTTTTTCAGAATATGTGCTAGATTAGGGTCTCTGGAACATGCAAAGCAAGCACATGCAGGTCTAGTCCGCAATGGGTTCGGGTTGGATATAGTAGCAAACACTGCTCTCGTTGACTTGTACTGTAAATGGGGCAGAATGGAAGATGCCAGGAATGTTTTTGAGAAGATGCCTCGCAGGAATCTTCTATCTTGGAATGCTCTGATAGGTGGATATGGCAACCATGGCATGGGAATTGAGGCTGTCAAGATGTATGAGAAGATGCGGGAGGAAGGGATGGTCCCAGACCATGTAACCTTTCTTGCCGTCTTAGGTGCATGTAATTATTCTGGCTTGTTAGACAAGGGGAGGGAGATTTTTGAGATGATGAGTCGAAATCCAAGCACAAAACCACGAGCAATGCACTATGCTTGTATGATCGAATTGTTTGGTCGAGAAGGACTATTGGATGAAGCTTATGCTTTGATAAAGAATGCTCCTTTCAGGCCCACGAAGAACATGTGGGCGGCTTTGCTGACGGCTTGTAGGATCCACAAGAACTTGGAGCTTGGAAAATTTGCAGCAGAACAACTTTTTGGCTTGGGACCTGAAAAATTAAGTAATTACATTGTTCTTCTCAATATTTACAATAGTTCTGGGAGGGTGGATGAAGCTGCCAAGGTTGTGGAAGCCTTAAAAAGAAGGGGCATTAGACTTCTTCCAGCTTGCAGTTGGATTGAGATTAAAAAACAGCCACACAAGTTCCTTTTTGGAGATAAATCTCACCCACAAAGCCTCAAAATTTATGAGAAACTAGATTCCCTGATGAGTGAGATTGTAGAACGTGGTTATGTTCCTGATTGGAAATCTCTGCTTCCTGATGTTGCAGACCATGAACAAAAGATGCTAACATACCACAGTGAGAAGTTGGCGATTGCTTTTGGGATCATCAGTACACTAGATTTTACTCCCCTCCAAGTCGTCCAAGGCCATAGGATCTGCAGTGATTGCCATACCGTCATTAAGTTTCTGACATTGATTACAAAAAGGGAAATTATTGTGAGAGATGCAAGCCGATTTCACCATTTCAGATGTGGGAGTTGTTCATGTGGGGATTATTGGTAACTGTACTTATTCTGTCTTAGAAAACAGGTACGATGCGAGGGATGTAGACATCTTATTTATGTTCTGCCGATTAGGGCTGAAGACAGTAGTTCTCCTTGTGCTTCACATGATTTGCCATTCATATTTTTTGAACCACAGCCTAAATAATGTTGTACATTGACCAATCGAAGAATCTCAAATTTCCCATCTAATAAATTCCAGTGTATCTTAGTTATATTAACCTTGACTGCATTAACGTGTTTATTTTTCTGGTTCTGATGAGCGTACCATTACTCATGGATGGGCCTTCGGTATTGATATTTTATAGTTTGCATGTCAAACCAGTTGATGTGCACGTACAGTTTGGTCTTTTCCCTCCTTATAGTGAGGTTACTTGTTGTGAAAAGTCAGTCTTAAATCTTTTTATTCTTCACCTTCTGCCTCAATTGCAATATTTCTGTATACATTCATGTGATTGGACTGAGCTTATTCCTTAAAGGCCAATTCTTTGGTGCTTACTCAAATTCTGAAGTGGATACGTAGCATTGTTTGGAACAGGTAAACATCACTGGTTCTGTTTTCGAGAATTTGAAATGCTTTGATGACTATCAAGTTGTACATATCTTTCAGGACATTAATGATCCAATTTTATGCCCAATTTTACTAAATGCACTGGCTGTTAAGAGTTCTTCAGGAAATCTGTGAGCTTCCTGATGGTTTCGTGCAACTGTTTGTAGCTGATGCAGATGGTCACTTTGCTTAATGGTTAGTATAGCTTTCTAACTCCTTTTACTTGATAAAATTCTTGAAGAAACCTACATGGTAGTTTCTAAACTTTCTATGTAGATCTGTTGGCATGACTAACATCTCTCACTAATTTAGAAAGATTCGTTGAATTGATTAGGGCAATTCTATCTGCTGGATTCATAATGCTGATCACCGGAGCGATGGCTAATTCCAAGTCAAAATGCCTCTTGCGGGCTTTTCTCACTACCATATATTCATGGAAGGAATCTTGTGCTTCATTCATGGTGTGTTCTGTGCTGCATGCTCTGTTGCTGTGATTGCCATGTTGTTGGAAGCTGCTGAAAGATTTGTTGTCCATCAGGGTATCTTGTGCTTCATTCATGGTGTGTTCTGTGCTGCATACTCTGTCCACATTGTTGGAAGCTGAAAGATTTGTTGTCCTTCGGGGGAATCTTGCGCTTCAACCATGGTGTGTTCTGTGCTGCATACTGTCACTGTGACTGCCACATTGTCGGAAGTTGAAGTATTTGCAATCCATCGGGGGAATCTTGCACCTCATTCATGGTGTGTTCTACGCCCGTCACATCATCGGAAGTTGCAAGGAAGGCGATGGGGGATGTTGCCGCTGATGCCGGATGATCCCTAAAAACTTTTTGTTGTCTGCAAATAATAATGATTCTAATGCAACAATGTTGTCTAGTCTTGCAATCTATGACTTACTGTTTGTTTTCCTTATCTTGTCAAGGATGAAGGATATGTTATTATGGTGACTATATTGTTAGTTTTGTTACCATTTATCCAAAAGTTTAAGCTTACTTTAGCATACATAATATGTGAACCAAAGACTCCTTGTATAGAAATAATATACTTTTATTAAATTCATTGTCCTTCTATAACATTTTAATATGATGATTCACTGATTGGTGATGTGATATTTTACGATAGACTTATTTATTTATTTTAGGTTGAATGTTCATCATAATTTAATTTTTATTTATGACCTAATTCTTAAGCATGATAGGCAAACTTAAAAAAATAGATATCGATTTGATCGGTATTTTATTTATTTTCATTAGGATAAAAAAATTAGGCAATAATTTTTTTATTTTGTGAAGGCATTAAGTTAACCTCATATAAATATTCCTTTTCATTAATGTTATATTATGGTTAAAATTAAGAAGCTAAAATCTATACACATAACGGTTTTTATAACGGCAAGTGTTACATTGATCCGTTACGTTTTGGAGGACAACATATCTGATATGTACTAATTATGCGAACGAGAATTAGCCGTCGGATGGGAAATCACGACAAGTCCATCTGACGGTCAGTAATATCAATCCGCGTGCTCCCATCGCATTGGTTGATTCCCTTGTCTCTTCGATGCTATAAATTAGAAGGAAAGCATCTCCATCAAAATCGCCGCGAGAAAGCCTTCGACCCCAAAGACCAAAACCCCGTGTCTTTCTTCTTCGCCTTCGATACCCAAACCCTAAGTCGTCTGTCGCCGCCATGGCTGGAAGAGGGAAGGCGATCGGCTCCGCAGCAGCGAAAAAGTCCATGTCGAGGAGCAGCAAGGCCGGTCTCCAGTTCCCCGTCGGCAGGATCGCCCGTTTCCTCAAGGCCGGCAAGTACGCCGAGCGCGTCGGTGCTGGCGCCCCCGTGTACCTCGCCGCTGTCCTCGAGTACCTCGCCGCCGAGGTGCGTTTCTGCCCTCTCTCTGCTTTATTATTTACCCTGATGGTACTGGCTCTCCGCCAATTTGGGGTCTTTTTCTTGATTCGTGAGCGAATCCTTTGTTTTCCAATATTTTATTGCTAAATCTAGAGTTTTAGCCGTTCTATCTGTATGGTTTCTGGCCTTCTGGTTGTATCAATAATCGATCTTGTGTTCTTGTGGCCTGCCATATGTTTGTGGTTTTGATTGCATTTCCGTCGATTTTTGCCCCCTTGGCTTTCTTGTGATATACTTCCTTCGGATCTCTAAATGGCTCACTCTGTTGCTTTCTTTGTGGACAGGTCTTGGAGCTTGCTGGGAACGCAGCGAGGGACAACAAGAAGACCAGGATTGTCCCCAGGCACATTCAGCTTGCAGTGAGGAACGACGAGGAGCTCTCCAAGCTGTTGGGAGAGGTCACCATTGCCAGCGGCGGAGTGATGCCCAACATCCACAACCTCCTTCTCCCCAAGAAAGCCGGATCTGGCTCCTCCAAGGCGGCCCCTGGAGATGACGACTGAAAGATGAGATCTTTTCTCTTCCCCTCTTGGCAGATTAGTATGGACTGTAAACTTTTTAGGTGCACGGTTGATTTTTTCCCCCTCTCTCTTTAAGTTTCTAGCTTCACCTTGTCTCACTTGGGATCTAAGTAATGAGAAAGTGGGATTAATGCTAATGTGTTGTAGTATATGTTGCTGATATCCTTGTCCTTGGCTTTGTTATGCTCGCTACAGAAATAGCTTGTAGGAATGCTGGTATAATTTCTAGCTTCAGCTTTGTGTCACTTGGAATTGCTAAGCTCAAGTAACGAGAGAGTGGGATTATTCTCTGTGTTGTATATGTTGCTGAATCACTTGCCCTTGGCTGTGTTATGCTAATTACAATGATAACTTGTATGAATGCTGGTATGATTTCTAGCTTCAGCTTTTGTCTTACTTGGAATTGCTAAGCTGAAGCAATAAGGTAAGTCGGATTGATGTCAATCTATGTGTTGTAAGATATGTTGCTGAATCACTTGTCCTTGGTTTTGTGTTATTCTGATTATAATGTTAGCTGGTATAATTCCAGAAGGACATCTGATCTTAACAGTTTGATGGTTCGACATGTAAAGTTTTGATTTCCATGAGTGTGTGTTGCAACAAAGTTGAAAGATTATATGGTTGGGCAATAGGCTTTGGTCCATGGGTGATTGATATCATTAGTTTGAGCTAATTATAGATTATCTGTGAGTTATGTTTAGGTTTTTTATATTTTCAAAAGCTATATTGGATTCCTATACAAAAGTAAAATATTTAATTTTCATCTTTGAGTTATGTTTAGGATTTTTACATTTTGAAAAGCTATATTGGATTCTTATACTTATTTATACTTATTAAAGTAAAATATTTAATTTTTATCTTTAATTTTCTTATGAAAATAACAGAGGTATTGTTGCGTCAAAAAATGATTTTAAAACAGGGTTAAAAAATAATTTCGTAGCTCGTGTGTTATTACCAATTTTCCCCAACTCATTTTGCTCGCATATATATCCTTTGCTTTCACAATGGCATGTGCATGCTCGCTTATATATCCTTTGCTCGCATATACATCAACTTCATGACATGCTTAAGCAAGTCTCGATAACGACAAACACAATCAGAAGGATGTAGAGGAGCATCATATAGTTGATGATCAGCCTTGCGATCTCGAATTCTTCGACAATATTGATGTCCATGATGTAGTAGGCATCGCCCTTGGCGATGATCGAGTTAGTTCTCACAACCCCGCCATCGAGTCGCCCTCTAACTCAGCTTGCAAGACCTTGAGCGAGCGCTACTAGTCTCCACCTTGGAGCTCCTCCCTCCATAATCGTAACCTACTCCCATATGATCGTGGCTTTCGATCGTCTCTCACTTTCGGATTCGACTCAATGTCGCATAATGAATCAATGAGATTGGCCACCAATCACATATTAAATTGATTTATAGGGCAATCATTAACTAAGTTGATGCATAGGTTAATCTAATTCTTTTTCGGTCTTAATTTTAATCTTCTTATCCTCTAGAGCGCTTAATGAAAAATCTTAGTCTTACCCCGAACCCTACTCTCATGTTGAAAAGTTCTACAAAAAAAAAAAACTACAAAACACAGAGAGATTGGCCAGATTCAATATTTGTAATCCTCATGATTGCTTCTTATGCTAATGCTGGACTTGATAACCAATAATACACTTTCTTTAATTGTCCATTCTCCTTAAGGATCTGAGACTTCTATTGGTTAAATTACAATGATATAGGTTTTCTTTTACGGAACAGTGATGCTCGCTGCGTTGCAAATTCATCAACGGTGAATTAGCCCGTGGTCCAATAAATTTTTGACTGCAAAGGAGGGTAATCTTGTTGCAATCCAACTGAGAATTGCTAAATTGCTGATTGAATTTGATGCGGAATGGATCGTAAATGTTTTGAGCAAGGAGGAACCCCCTCCTCCTTAGTTCTTCCTTAACTCTCTTTGCTCTACTCAACTTATTTGTCGAGTGAAAAATGATTCATACCTTTAGAGAGAACAGTCGGTGTGCTCATTTGACTCTTATTATTTGCCAAAAGGTCCAAATCTGAGCAGATTCGGACGGAGGACTGACATCCTCTTTTCTTGTAAGCTGATCTACCTGGATGAGAAGGGAGCTATTGATTTTGAAGTAATATATTATCTTTTTTGTTTGGAAAAAAAAATCATATATTACACCCAGAAATTTTAGCACTGTTGTACAAGAAAAGAAAGAGCACCTAATGAAGATTCTATATGAGTTGAAGCTATGTCCAAAACCAGGGCTAAAAAACAACCTAATTGTTTTCTTTATATTCCTATCATTACTTACAAAAATAGAATACATGTGCTCCCATGGATTAGCTGGTTAGACCAGAAATTTTGGTAACAGCTGAGGGTTCTACATATCCTTCATATCATGGTGCTTTGAGTGCTCCCCACCCCCCTCGGGTCGAATACCATATCGTTCTTGTTCGAACCTTTCTTGATTCTTCCTGTGATCTATGTGCTGGAACTGGCAGAGGGATCAGGTTCAACAAGTCATAGTTTGTTTGGTCTTGCATAATCCAGACAGAAGCTTATGGCCAGAATATCCCAGGTAGCTGATAACATGATAAGCTTCAGATTCCACCTGAATAAAAATGAACTAAAGTTAGCATTGGTTTTACCAAATTATGGTCTTGAGAGAGGGATCCAAAGAAGCAAAATTTCAATGATGAATAGCAACAGATTAAGCTCAATGTATTAACAACATTTTTAAGCTCATATGCAACTGTCTTATGGGTTCTTACACAATAAATAACAAAGCTATACTGAGAGCATAGGTAATTTAGTGGCTTATCCTGTAGGAAAGATACAGATGAAGAGCATGTCCAAGGTCTGGAGGCTAAAAACTAAGATTAATGTGGGGTAACTAAATGATGGGATGGGTGTGAGGTTAACATATAACAGTGAACAAGCAGCAACATGTAATGTATTATAGAAAAGAAATGATAAGTAATGGGAGGACCTTGTAGGACCACACCAGCTAGAGGACAGGGGAGACACAGAACCACCATGGTGACATGATGAAAAATCCAAATTTTGAGCTCTAGTGAAAGATCAGAGCAGTAAAGAAGATGTACTAGCAATCTACATCGTATCAAAAACATTTGTGAAATCACCAGCTTAACAGGAATGCAACATAAGGTAGGATTTAAAATCAGAAGAATTGGGGGAAGGCTTGGTCGCTGACAATTACTTGTCTATTGCCATTTTAAATGGCACACCTCTTTTTCTGATATTGACTTAACTGCAGCAAATGAAGCCGTGCCTTGTTGTTTGACTTAACTGGTTCAACCAGCAAGTTCCTAGTGTTCCTCATGACCATAATATTAATCAGAATATGTAATTGGAAACTAGTACCATGCGGGTGTTTCATGACCATCACACTATCAACATAAAATTTCTCTGGTTGTTCATAGGAGCAGAAGAAGATCCCTGCCAGATCATTATGTATGGAAGAAAGAAGAACACTAAATTTCTGTTCATGATTACCCATCAGTACTGAATAGAAGGCTATTTCCAACAATATGAGATCAGTTGTTACCTTTTTCTGACAAAATTTTAGGGCCCCTCTTCATCTGAACTGGAACTGTCTACCCGCCGATCCGTAATTGCAGGAAATAGTCGCTGTCGGGGATCAGGAGTAGGATTTGCAGTTGCACTGTCCTTAGCTTTTGGTGCCTTTGAAACTTTCTTAGATGATTCCCTTACTTCTTTGCATGTCTTATCTATCATGCCAAGAAAATCTCGCACGATAACAAATAGCCGTAAACCTTCATCTTTTGCTGCACTCCCATGAAAATAATCTGTGGTGCTCTGCACCAAGGATCTTATTCTCCTTTCTTCTTCCAACAAGAAAGTTATGGCAGCCTCAGCATGCTCTACGAAATACTTGAGGGTATCGTGAAACCCACTAACCTCTTCCAGATTTCTCATGTCTGTGTTCAGAAACTGCTTGATCTCTATCAACCTGCGACCAAAGCTTGCCACTGTACCTGTTATGGCATCGGCATCCAATCCAGCTGCCTTCTTGACATTCTCAAGCTCACCGCTAAGACCACAAACAACCGTAAGGCCAAGATTACGCAATTCGTCTCCAGATTCTTTAAGCGAATCTTCAGATACATCATCAGTGAAAAAGCTGTAATTTGTCAGGCTGGACATGCTACCACTTTGTCTTGCCACACGTGCAGCACGTATACCTTCATAGCGAATCATCTCTTTGACAACAAAATGCAACAGAGTGGTCTTCCCATCAGCACCCTTAACATCTGACAACTTCAAGAGCGTGTCAAGCTTAAATGCCTGAGCACCTCCACGGTAGGTGCCATCATTCATGCGGTTGCCAGTTTTAAGAACAGCTTCTAATAGCTTTAAGAACAGACGATTGCTTCTGAGTTCTGTGCAAGCTACCTAGTACAAAATATTACTCGTAGCTTATTTTCACCAGAATATTAAATGTTAGAAACAAAATATTTATTTATAGCTTTAGTCTCCACTACCCATGACATGATCCAAGTACAAAGATAACAAGATACATGTTCAGCTAGCAGAGAGTATCAACCAAAAGCATATATAACAAATATCAGTGAGGCAAGCTATCCTACTCCTGTTTGGAATACTGAGACTGACATATTTAACATTAATAAGTAGCAACAATTTGACCATAGTAAATAATTCAAGTTGCTTATTCATATGAGAAACTAAAATCAAAACAAGAACAAATATTTCAGAGATTGCCCTGGTTGAAGCAGAGTTGTACTTACATATGGGATTAGCTTTTTGTGGATTATGTGCTAGAGATACATTCTGGTTGCTGTCTAATTGGCATGGAGACATGTAACTTGGCATGTTTAGTTGAGTGATTCTGATTAAATGATCCGGATATTACTATGTTTTGACAAAGAATGTAGTAGCAGTCAAAATATTCAAAGTTCATCATAAGAAATACATGAAAGAAACATCAAATACATAGAAATTGAAGCATTGTTTATTCAATCAATTCATAATTCCAGACAAATACTGAATGAATCTTAAGAATCTTTGGGAGAAATCTCATGAAAGCAATTAGAAAACTTCTCTTCAATATAAAGAATTTCACCATCAATAATTGGACTACATCATTAAAGGCTGAACTTGGTCATAGGTTGTTTTTATCAGACAAAAGACATTAGGTCCAGAATGTTTAGCTTGTAAACCTTGTGCATTTTAATTTAGCTTATAAACCTTGTGTGTTTTAACATTCTTATCCATGATAAATTCAGAAGTTCTTGAGAATCCATTTGTTGGTTCGCTCGAGGGAATGCAATGGGGCCCTTCAGTTCCAAATGGAATTTTGCTGCTACATAACATGCAGATGGTACACAGTTTGAGACTATCATATCACATGGAAGTTGTGTTTGTAGATGCACTGCATATTAGTTGAAAAACTAGTAAGAACAGGTGAAGCCTACTTATCAGAAATTCTTATCATGTATGGAAAGGTCATGAAAAGCCCGAGAAAGTTGAAGGCGGCTTAGACTGGTGACAACATGGGAGTATTTGTAGAGGCATTGAGCAGGGGACTCTAAAGATTGTGGGCACTGGTAGATCTTGGCTCTATGCAATTTGAATCTGCACCATATCTCGTGTAAATTGACTAATATTAGTAACTTTTGCTATTCGATCAAAATCATGGGTATGAGGTAGAAAAGGAAACTGCACACAGAGGTTGTACACTAAGAGTCGAAAATTGAAATTTTGATTTGTGCCTGTGATATGATAAAATTTGATTAAGAATTTGGGAAGGACTTGGCCAACTGTAGATCACTCTTGTGTTCACTATTTTATGGAAAAATGTTCTTGAATGTTGTGAGAGGAAGAGTTCTTTGTGTTGCATTGTGATTGAAAATCGCTTCTTTTTTCTCTGTGTATTACTAAATTATTTACAACATCTATATGAATGTACTAATGAGAGAATTGCATTTTATGTTGGTTCAGGCTTAATCCATCCCTTCACTGGAAGCTGCATTTTGAAATGAATTAGGTTTGGGTTTGGACAATTGATATTGAAGACCAAGTTTGTAGATGCATCTGTGGAGCTGATTCAGACAAGAAGAGTATAGACAGATTTAGATTGTTGAGTTATTTAAATTGTGGGTTAGCTATTAGATTCATGTAGTACAACTTACTTATTTCCAAATTGCATGATCATAATTAACAATACCTCATTGTGTCTTTTCCATAGTTAATGTTTCCCATGAATCTTAAACTGTTACACTCTTGATAGAGACGACATTTTTATTTTACTGAAATGACCATATTTTGCACATGCGGGGTATTTTTCAGTTGATGATAGTGCTGGTTAGTATGGTTAACATTCTTGTTGCAACCATTTAACATTCATTACTCATGAGCACAAAACAGTGCTCCTGTTTTCTAAATTAATCATGCATATTAAACACTGCCATTCTAGGGTTTGAGGTTGGTCCAAACAGCTTACCAGTCTGATAAATGAACAAACCCAGAATATGATTATTAAGAAAAGGATCCTAACTTTTCAGTTCTTTGTGCAGAAAAAAGAAGGGTTCAAATTTTTATGCTAATAATGTAGTTACTTTTGTCATACTCATGCTTATGCTAGTAACTGGGTTTGTGATTGATTTAAGGATCTCTTATTGGGTTGATTGAAATGCATAAGTACAAATGATAATTTTTATGTTCCAAACTTATTTGCAGAGTATATTATTTGTTCTGGAAGATTTGGATGTGTTGGATGATGGAAATTAATGTGTGGTTGACGTAAAACATCTAGGCCTCTGGAGTACACAAAAAACATAATATCAACAGGACACCAAGGTTCCCCCAGGTATGTAAAATGCAAGAATTGTTTAATACCATGCAAGTATCAAATAATTATAACAAATCCAAGAGGCCTAGGCTCAGTGGAGCGTGGAATATGGTGGTGCCAATCTTCAAGATTAGTATATTGGAGATATTTGCTAAATGGATTCACATATATGAAAACTTTTAAATACAATGGAGATTGTTGGTCAGTTTGAGACAAACTAGGGACTTTATGGTGGTTTTTCCTGATGATTATGCAACTTGACTCTATATCATAATGTGCTGTCAGTAATTAGATTAAACCATGCACTGGTTTACATTCCATCCCCTTAAAAGAATGAACAGTAAAAATATGTCTTGCATTGCAACAAACGTTTCTGATAATTTGGTTTAAGGTTTAAAAACATTTATATTTTACATCTATGATATGGCTTTTGTGCTATTTGTAAACTCGGCAGAGGTGTGGAATGCCATCGTGAATAGCCAACCTCTGTGACTCATCAAGATACTGATAATAAGCAAGATCTACAGTAGGCACACAAATGGAAAAAGTGAAAACATGAGCCTATATGAATAAGTGCAGTAATTTGCAAACAGAAGAATACAAATTCAAAGATTTATTAATATGCATAAATGGATATACATATTTCCATCTAACAAGAAAAACATGAGCAGAGTTCTATTATAACTTAAAAAAGGATTTTGGCTAATTATTCTCAAGCTGACATGAACTACCTACCGAGTGGCAACATGGAGAAAACTCACCAAAAATCTGGTATCTAATTGTGTAATAGGACACAGAAAAAGCAAAGATAGCATTTGAGTTGTCTGAGATTTCAAGACTTGCCTCAAGAGTCGCAAATGAATCCTTTATGCTTGAGACATCTTCATGTAGAGAAGACATAAATAGCAAGACATCCATCCTTTTATAGGCAAAAGGAATATCAACCAAGTCCCTTAGGAATTGTTCTGCTGGCCCCAGTAGGGACAAATCACCATTATACAGCCGAAGTTTCAACTCTTCGTCGGTGGTTGGTTGCATCCTCAACAATGTTTGCAGAAGAGCACTAGGAAGCTCATTTCCTGTTTTGAAGAAGATAAACAAAATAGATGCAGTACATTAAAAATGATTCATATTGAAAAATTTTCATTCATGCACATAAAAATTGTTTGTCCATAATTGTTGTTGAAAATTTTTTTGAGATGCATGAAAGTTAAGCATAAGGTGTGTTACAAATATAAACTGGAAAATATCAGGTTTTATGCTTGTGCAGGATGGAAAATCAAATCTGGAATTATCTACATGAATGGATAAAGCAGCTACACTGATTATCGAGTATTGGTAAATGAAAAATCAAACACAAGGAGAAGAGACGGTAAACTTGTGGCTGACTGGCTGGGAAAAACTATGATATACTTTATTGCTATCCTGACAACTGAATCAAATACAGAAAATACCGCATCACCTAATCTCCATGTCTACCAAACACAAGATAGACTTACCTTCCATGAGTGCTTCATGGACTTCTTGTTTTTTGACACTCAGAGCCTTTAATGATATTGCCAAATTCTGTGATTTCTTGGGGTCAAGAAGCTGAATGTACTGTATAGGAGGATCACCAGTGGTTGATTGCTTCTTTATTTCAACTCTGGTTTTACCAGCAGCATTGTAGCCAAATAGTGTTTCTATCATCTCTTCGTCGAACCTGTAAAATTTCACTAGATCATCATCAAAGCCAAGTTATACACTGATAATAATAGTTAAAAGTAATTGAATAAATAACTTACTGGAAAGATCCTGATCTAATCTGATTCCAGACATTGGACTGATCTGGGTTTGCAAGAACTTTATCCCAAAAGAATGGCTTCAGCTTTGTTTTAGAACTATTGCCATTACCAGCTGCACCAAGGCTTCCTGGATTGGGTGCAATTGGTGGTCGTATGGTTCTTGAACTTCCTTGAGATTGACGAGGAGGAAGTGCAGCTTTCGGTGGTGGTGGTGGAAGCCCAGCACCAGGCTTTTGGTTAGACAATGGTGGTCGTGGAGCAGGAGGTGGAGGAGCCGCCTTACTAGGAGGCATAGCAGATGGAGGAGGAGGAGGAGCAGCAGGTGGAGGAGGGACGGCAGCAGGTGAAGGAGGGATGGCAGCAGGTGGAGGAGGGATAGCAGCAGGTGGAGGAGGGATAGCAGCAGGTGGAGGTGGAACAACAGTTGAAAGAGTAGGCCTACCAGGCGGAGGAGGAAGTGATGCTTTTGTTTCAGAAGTGTCTTTATGTCCAAACGATGGAATACTTGAAGTATGGGAATATCCTGATAGTCTGTCAGGTAGTAAGGTATTGTCTGAGTTGAGATCTGAGGAAAATACATGACCATTTTGGAGTGGTCCATTTTTAAGTGGCAACCCTCCAAAATTATCACTATGATTCGAACCAATTGGTCCAAATGACTTACTTGACGTACCTGAGATTGGAGAAGAAAAAAAATCAAATTAAACAATTGTCCCATTAATTATGTTAATAAGAAAACGAAACAATTTCATACCAGACAAATCACTTAAGCTTAGATGCAAGAGGGGCCTCTCATCCCTTCCACTAAATGAGTCATTGCTTTCCCTACAACATTTCCGATAACAACAGAATACACATGCAAGAAGAAGAGATGTCACAGCTGAAGATATCACTACAGCGATGATAACTAATTTTGTTTGGTTGTTTTCCTCTTCCTTGGGTGCATGTGGAGCAGCATGTCGTTTCTTTTTGGATGGTTTTGGACCTTTTGGTGGAGGGATGTCACTTGGCAAATCTGAGAAGGACTCATTAGGGAATGAAGAGCTTGCTGATGCTAGATCAGAATCTTGTGATGGAGTAGGACTAGGTGTTTGTGGTTCAGCTCTAGCATCGGGTGATGAAGCTGGAGGAGGAGATGGTCCGGCAGCTGGAGACAAGGCAGGTGCAGCAGTTGGAGGTTGATCTGCTAAATGTCTTCTTGGAACAGGACGAAGAGTAAGTATGAAGTCCAAGCATTCCATATACAGATTTTTCAGTTTATGCTCATCTTCAAAAACATCGAAGTGGAATCCTTTCCTAATTAGGCATTTGAAAACTGCATGCTTTATGTCTGGTGAGAGAGATCTTATGACTTTAGAAACACGCATCACACCCTGCACAGACAAAAAACATTTTATTGTATGTCTATCAACTTCAGACTGCAAAGTAACTACTAACTATAACTGTCAAAAATAGTTTAATCATTTAAAAGAAACTCATCATCTGTAATGATCTAAGTGATGACAGTCGTAAGTCACTAAGTGGATTTCAAACCAGGATTTGGCAACATATCTTGATTCATTAGTTGATCCAAGATAAAGTTTAGAAGCTAAAGGTGACCACATGAAGAAGAGTCATTGAGTTTGACAGCACAAATCTTACTGACTTTACTAAACACAGGAAAAATTTTCGAAAAACAACATTATTTGCAATTTGACATTCCTTCTGGGTTATGAGTTCCAACTTACTTTTAAAGGTCACAACTAAGTTCCACTCTCTTATTTGCAACAACCTCATGGGACCCCATTAAGCATTTAAATAAAGTTAATCGCCTCCCACGTTATTGTAAAGGATCACAGTAGTCCAGCTAAAGCACAGGTAGTGATGATTTCGGGTGAGGAATAGCACAAAGGATCATATTCCCCATAAATGATTTGACAGATGATGATAAAGAGAGCATTGTGCCCGCAAGCACAGGAAAAAGGTATAATACCAGATGGAGGTTAATTTTATCCCAACAGTTGGAAGCATTTCACACTTGACGCACAACGAAACTGGTCCATGAGCACACAAAAAAGGTAAAATACTAGACAGAGGTCGATTTTAACCCAATAGTTGGAAGCAGTTCATACTTATTGCACAATGAAACGGCAACTGCATAAGCTTTTGCCCTAAAATGCTGGGGAGTGAATCTTCTGCATCATGATGGTTTTGGATGACCTAGCTCCCTTGGAGAAAACAGACTCTGCTGAGGGAAACAAAATCTGCCATTATTTTGCTTGTCATTTTAGCCTGCAGACAACTACTACTTCCTGATATCTACTGTCATGATATTTGCAAGACCATTAAAATGGACAAGGTGTAAGCCAAAACGGGACAGAAGTTATTGTCAACAGCCACATTGACATAGTAGTGTCATCTGGATGAGCTTGGAAAGACTTGATGAAGCATTGAAAATGCAGGAATCCTAGATGATAAAGAGCAGTCAAGCACACAGGAGATGGTCCAATGGTAGGCCAACTAAATTGTCACTACACAGTAATGTCTTCGTCGCATCTGTCATGTGGATCATCATTAGAGAGGAGGACAGTTGACCTCCTTCATCCTCTCCCACAAATCTATAAATTTTCAGGGATATACGATCTCTCTGGGTAACACATCTTTCATATACGCGCAGTTTTCGGTTTTGCGGGTTTTTGTACACCAATCTTTGCATGACGACGAAAAACTTTTTCTGCGGGATATTCTAGGATTTTGTTTTTTGTTCTTTCGCTACGCATGTGATACTGCCTCAGGTTTCCCAATAGAGCCTACTTGTTTTAATGAAGCCAAAGGTGTTAAGGTGCGGGAGAATGCCATAAATGAAGAAATGAATGCTTTTCATAAACATGAAACTCGGGATCTTGCGTCAAGACCTGTTGGTTTCTGTGAGGAATTTAGTGCTATTTCTGATTTGCATAAGCTATTCTTGAATTTGGTCGTCGTATGGATGTTGTGCCTTTTGCACGAAGTCCAATTAGAGATTTCAGTGGTCTTCCATCTAGTAAGTTTGGATTATGCTCTACGTCAAGAGATATTCCTGATGGTCCTAAAAGTTTCCGGATGGAGCAACTTGAGTCAGGGATTAGTGATGAAGAAGGTAGCATGGTGTCAATGGGCAAGGCGAGTGAAGAGAAGGCTATTGCGGACTCGAAGAAACCCATTTGCAATATGGTTGATTGAAAGACCATCTTCTTATAGCCTTTCTTGACTAGCCAAGAATGGAAGATCAAACCTTTCACCCGAAAGCACAACCAAGCCGCCATTGCCTTCTCTATATGGTTGTAATTGCTAAGATCATTCTAGGGATATTAACTTTCCTACGTCAAAGAGAACAAAACAAGCAACGATGGCTACTGAAAAAACCTCATGGGTGTTTCTTCTAGTTTATGTGCTGTATTGGATAAAATCAGAAGAGCACTAGTAATCACCAAACAAGAACCTACTCCCTCCATAATAACTTGATAAACCCTAGATTGTTTGCCAGGGAATTTATCTCATATGCATGGAAGAATCCATATTGCATTAGCTGATGATAAACTATCCTTTTCAATTTGGTATCCATCCTGTTCCTATAACAATTTAGGTCCTTCTCCATGGCGCATTACCACAATTAGATTTCCAAGTATCATGACCCTAAATTGTCAGCACAGGTGAAACTTTGAGCAATCTAATTTGTCCGCAAGTTCATAACAAGAATTGCAAAACCACATAAAAAAAAGGATGAATGGCTGATTAGAAGTGAAAGAAACAAAATAACTAATCAACAAAAAGATCTCATACCGTGTCCTCGTGCATCATGGGGGGACTCATCAACCTAGCATCTCCCAAAGCCAATGACAATCCCTCCCCTCCCAGCCTCCCCGCTGATTCTTTCACCACCAGAACAGGGAAAAAAATCAGACAAAAGAGGAAAAGCACGATCCTTTTCGTATCCATCGTGTCTTGGATCAACCTTCCACCCACAATCTACCCTTTTCATCGCATCTGCAGCTCAACCTCCGCATCAAATCAGCTCGCAGCACGACACAAACAATGTCCCCTCCAGAAAACACCATCAAGAGCGACGCAACATCAACCAACGCGCAGGCAAGCCAAGGTATCGTATCTTCAACCGCCAAATCAAATGCAAGAAACCTGAACGATCATAGTCGGTCGCAGAGACAATGTCCGGACAATTCGAAGAAAAGATCGCAGCTTTGGTCCGCCTCCGCCTTGGGGGGGATGCCGGGGTGGGGATCTAGGGTTTTTTCTTCGAGAGGCGACGAGGGGGAAGGCGGAGGAGGCCAAAAAATTGGGGATTTTTCCCGTCGTAGTTCAAATTTCGCTGCCGGCGTTGGAAAGCGGAAACCGACGACACAATAACAGACGTGCGGAAGGGATTCCTGACAGGTGGTTGATCCAACAGGATTCGCTGCAAGCATATTGCAAACCGTCACCTTTACAATACGTTTGCTGTTGTGACGTCCTGCAAGTCGTGGAGCAGACGCTACAGCTGTCGATTCTTTTGTGGTGATTGTAACTGTCTTCTGCAACTCAGTTTGCGTTAGAGAATGCTTGTCTCCAATGGAGTTAACTTAATTAAGAAAACGGACAACCCGGATTTGGACTTTCTTCTTATTAATATTATTATTTATATACCAAAAAGACTTTGCATTGCTGGCAAAACAGCAGTTCATGGCTCACAATGCCTTATTATAGCCTTTTCTATTATTTTTCTTTTTATTATAATTTTTTGAAGAAAAATAGGATGTGAGGAATGAAAGAAAATTCATGAGTAGTTAAAAATTCCATGCACAACAAAAACAAAAACAAAAAACTAATTGGCTATCAGCTTAGTGGTGCCTTCTTTTAATATGTTTCTTTTTTTTACTGAAGAATTCCGGAACTTAACATGGTTTCCATGTTAATGTTCTTTAAAAACATGTTCAGTGTTCATGGGAATTAGGTTCTAATTCTGATAAAATTGTTTTTAGAAAAAGGCTATATATATATATATATATAGTACAAAGTATAGAAATTTAATTGTCAAGGATAGAAATGGTACAAAGTATATCA